CAGCTTCTCGAATGACATGCCAAGCAGTAAAGATTGAACAAGACTTTCCCGAAACTGCAGAATGGTAACTAGGCTTGTGGCATAGTTTTTTTTTCTATGTCAAATAGCTATTGACTATTGCCATCTCAAAAATTAGTTCAAATACCATCTTTTGGTGCCATTTTGTTGACCATTTGAGACATGTACAGTATGTTGATAGCTGATCTGATAAATCACTACCTTGTCTTCCTTCGTTGTAATCTGGTAAGACTTGTAGCTTCACCATACGCTCACGTTATATGTTGGTTTTTCATGGTGCATCGCAGTTGGTGAATACGTCGAAATTTCATTTCTTCTATCTCATGCCAGCTGTGCAATACTCAAGAGCAAGAGAACAATACAATTGATAAATTATAGAATTCGTCGAGAAAGGAAGCTGTTCATATGATGTCACAAACAGAAAAGAGAACACAACAGGCCAGTACAGAATGAAAAGACCAAGGAGTGTATTTGTCGAAAGACGAATGCATACGAAAATGAATTTGTTAGACCTACACTCTCTAATAAAATCGAATCGCGTCGAATGTGTTAAACTTTTTGTATATCTATCGGATGTTTAAAATCGACTGAAGCTAATCCTAGTTGAATATCTTGTATGCAAGATCTTGGCCAAGATACGAGATGCAGAAATGTTAGCATATCTTGGAAATTTAGATACAAAATAATTCGATTGTCCTGCATTAAGATCTGTAATTAGATCCTGGGTACAGATGAACTGATAAGATTAGGATATCAGAATGTAATGTGGATGTGGTCAAGATCTTCCTCTTATAACACTCACTGATGAACATGAAATTTCAATATAATCCTCTGTATGAGTATATGCATGTTGTTTACATTTCGTATACCCGTTCCCCTTCGACACTACACTCTACTTTTCTTACATATGTTTATTCAAACGATTCGATTACTCATCTTCGTCTGCATAGTTAGAGTTAAATTCATCGCTTGCAAATGTCTTGTTTTTAATAAATTTCTACTATATGAGAAACAACTTCCATTGTCATCTTCAAAATTACTTTCATCAACGATTTCAGCAAATGAAACTACATGGATTAATCGACGAATAACAATATTTCTAACAGGATGACTACCTGAATCTTTGAATTCTCAATGATTCTATTTCCGACAAACATTAGTATAACATCTCAATTGACGTAAAATGTATGCTGTAAATCATTTCATACATATAAATTTCCGTCTTGATTCGGTTCGGTTGTAATACGTTAACTACTCATATATTACATTTTGGACAATGTTCTAACTACTGTTTCTTCAAAATACCTTTCATATAGTGTGTCATCAAAAGCACAATACCATAAAATTTGTTAGATATTCATTATCTTAACGAGAACGACTCAGCATTAATATTGATCATTTAAACTTATCTTGCTAATGATTGAAATAGTCTTAAAAATTCATATATATATATATCTTTAAAAAAAATATGCATTGAGATAACAATTGACAAGCAGACAATTGAAAACTCATGATTTATTTGATTATATTTTTATTCAAATAGTTGTATATCGTTGACATTTTTTCTCAAAATGTCGTGTTCCATGAATTAAACGTCCACATTGAAAACAAAATTGTTTCATACATTCATTACATACCATCCAATTATCTTTATCCATTTTAACATTAAGTTTTCTACATGATTTGGCTGGACATTGTTTTACTCGATTAACAATAGCAGAACCAATAGTTGATCGATTATTAATCGAAATTTCCAAATCCTCTTCATTTTGATCTTCATCTGAAAGAATAAATATATTGCATTTTTTGATTCTCATATTGCAAAAGAAATCAAACGTATTACAAACCTATGTTTATTTCTTTGTTTAATTCTTCTTTGATAGATTCTACATGTACAAGATTGGGATTATCCATTAATGAAATAGTATTAGCAATTTGAGAAGTGTCAATTGTTTGCCAAGTAAAATCATGATTACATCGTGAACAATGCATATGTGAACAACCACCATTTTTTTCAATTCGTACATTACATTTAGGACAACGTTGAGTATTAAGTGATTCTATTCGTTCAGCATTTAAAATCTCTTCTAGTAAAGCATTTTCTTCAGATAATTTAATCACAATTTGACGATATTTTTGTCTAGGAACTTTATCTATAACTGAAGATTTCTTCATTTCTTTTGTTTTAGTCATTTGTGCAAGAGCTTCTTCTTCTTCTTCTCGTTGTCGTTCAATTCGTTGACGTTCTTTTTCTTGTTGTAATTTCAATTGTTGAATTAGATATTCTTTTCGACATAATGTTTGAGAATGAAATATTTCTTTACATTTTTTACAAAATGTATAACGACACTGATCACACATAGCTAAATTATCATCACCATTATTGATAAGAACAGCACATTGACATCTTAAATAAAATATTCTTTTAAAACCATTTGTTATCTCTGTTTCTTACCTTGGACACCAAAGAATATCATTCATCAAATCCAAACTATGTTGTAATGTAATTCTTTCATATCTTTCATATAACTGATCATTTTGAAGAATTTCTTTGATTTCTGTTGGAAGTAATACTTGTTTACATTCATTTTCTGGACAATGAATTTTTTCACCAAATTTTCCATTATCTAATGTTATTTGAACATAGTTATTTAAACAAGATCGACAATAAAAATGTCCACAACGATGAAGATAAATACATTCGCTACCTGGAAGAATATTTGCACAAATTAAACATGTTTGAAGTTGATTTCGAAATTGTTCTTCTTCACGTTCATGATTATAATTAATTAAGTATTGAAACATTTTTTCTACATTTTCATCTAAATATCCATTTAATGCTCTTGGATCATTTTCTTCTTCTTCAAATTTTATATTAAAATTAAGTTCAGTATTAATTTCATGTTTAATTAATTCAATCCAATCATAAACACATACATCTCCTTTAACAAATGGATAATGATCAAGTTTTTGACAAAGTTTTTGTAAATGAAATTTTGAAAAATAAAAACATGAAAGAATAAATGATGGTGGATAATCACTTGGATATTCATCATGATAATGAATAATAAGAGTAAATGGTGGTAAATGTTGAATAAGAGATGTTTGATTATTAAATCGAATAGTGAAACGTGTAATAAGATCAAATTCAATTAATATTTCATATTGATTATCATCAAGAAGATGAAATTTTTTCTCAAATATTGATTGTAATACTAAAATTTCATCTGATTGTTTTTCAGTATTTGTCATTATAATTCTTGTCTAATGAAAATAATTTATTCTAAATAAGTCTAAAACTATAAAGGTTATTGAAATATATGGTGATGTTTTACAGGCAAAGTTATTTTTTACTTCTTGAGTAATTACAACATCACGTGAGTCAATATTTTAATGGAAGAAAAGAGAAAAGAACACAGAACGCGAAAGGAATGATTAGGAAGAATGTTGTTTGTGTCAAAATTGAAGTGTAGCACGCATTATATTCGAACAACGTGTTCTTTGTCGATAAGTTATTGGGCACTATACGAAAGAAAAGATTATGAGCACCGACAGTATCTAAGAAAGTTTTTGACGAATAGTTTTCTATTCTGTTTAATCATTTTCATTTATATTATATATTTGGTTTATGTGACATTTACATGTTGGAAAACGCTGATAATTGCACTGTTTAAGTCTGTACTTGCCTTTGTATTGTTCATTATTGTCATTAGGCAGTTAAGGTCGCTTGTCAGAATCTTTGTTCGTTTAATAATCATTTCGTTTGTTTATGAGATGTTTGACATCAACATACCTGTGCTACAAAGAACTCAATTTGTACCCGAAGAAAAATATCTTGTCGAAAATACTCACCAAACCGAATACAACCTGTCAGCATGAATACTCGGAAAATTTGATGTGTAATTATACTTTTTTTAATCATACAAGTTGTTTCTCTAAGATTTTCTCGTAAATGAAAGCATGAGTACTCAATATAGCACTTATTTTCGTTATTGAGCAGAATATTTCACAAAACATTTATGCATCAGCATGTGCAAAAATAAAGTTCTGTAAAAAAAAAAAAGATAAATGATGTAATAAAATGGGAAATAAAAAAGATATATTGTAATGACGTATCTAATTTATTCTCCATTCTTTTCTGATGAGTCGTTGATACTGTTTTAATCAATGATTATGTAAAGAATAGGAAAGCGGTTTTTCATTGACAACTGTTCGTTTTTCGAATAGGATTGAATTTTTACTTAAATATATAAAAGGGCGATACGTTCAACTTTATTTCCTAAATTTAGATGAATTCTTTTTTCAGAGTGTGTGGGTGAATAGATACTCCACACCCACACCCACACCCTGACTGAGAAAAGATTTTCTATCTCTTGTCCCCACCGTTGCAGGATAGACTAAGTTAATTTTGAACAGCTCGAATCAATACGAAGAATTTCAATTCAATATAGATATTTTTAAACATTTCGAAAAAAAAAAGTGATAAATTATTGTTGTGGAATTGATCATTATTTGTTAACAAAAGTTCGTAGCCAATAGTGATTGATTGATTCTCCTAATCTCATTGCTTATTACTAGACAATGACAAGAATTTTTTAATTAACAGTACCAGCACCTATTTGATTTTCATTATGAAACATCATAAGAATTTGATTCAAATCACCCACTTCATGATTAAAATTCTATGTAAGTTGATCATGTTCAAGTATTATTTGAAGAACATATATATCTTTTAGTAGACACAAAATTTACTATTACTTATACATGTTTTGATTAAATTTGATAAGTACCTCAATGAATTTATATCCATGTCTACAAGTTTTTCACATTCAAAATACTTTCTAAGATACATTCACTTTTTCGGTAGCGAGCACCCCATATTTTGGAAGAGTCGAAGATCTGGTACAGTTTTTGTAAGCTTTAGTTTTTCTTACTATTTCTATCGATCCCTAGTAATGTTTAGGATGTATTTTAATCCTGAGGTTTCTCGTGTACTTCTGTAGACAACTACTTGAAGAATCTATAAGTAACAGATGAGAACTCTCTTTGTTAGCCTGCTCAATGTTTGTATATATATATGATTAGTTAAGAGAGTTATTTGCTGTAATATTTGTTTGTTTTTGTCATCACCATAATTACAAAGACATATATGAAGAGAAGAAGTTTTATTATGAGAAAATAAACAAAGAAGAAGAAAAAAAGAAGAATCAAATGTATATATGTATATAAAGATTAGAAAAGAAGATTAAACAAGCAAAACAAAATTATCAACAACAACAAAAGAAAAAGAAAAAGAAGAATATGTACAAAATTACATGAATTTCGAATCCGAAGTACTAATACGTTATGCCCATTTCTAATCTAAGAGGTATGTACAACTATAAAAAAAGTCTCAGTGGCTGAGGCAACTAATCTTTAGAAAGGTCTATTACCTCCACAGAAGAATCGGTAGGCTTATTCTTATCAAGACTAATTTTTTTCTTTTTTTTATTCGAGTCTTTCTGTGGAGATAATAGACGTTTCTGATTGTTTGGTTGAGGATCTTCTATTGTTATTCTACTGTCACAGACCAAGAAAGCTCTAAGTAACTTACTTCTATGTTTTTTTTCTTCCTCAACTATTTCGGGACCTTTTTGAACTATTTCGGGAACTTGCTGAACTCTTTCGGGACCATTTTGAACTGTTTCGGAAGCTTTCTTCTGTATTAGTGCCTGCGGATTCGCAATTCTTACAATTAATTTTGGTTTATATAGCAGCTCCCATTCAAGATTGGCATAAGAAGACCTTCCAACATTGGTGAGCCTGTTTGTGCATCAACGTGACCTGTTTCGATTTCCTCGATGATGACACAATGTTCATTATAATTAATTGGAGGAAGAGGAGGTGTTTTTTGAATAATTATTTCTGATTGTGGCTCATTTACCACCTCCCCGGCACCAAAAACGGACTCTGAAGAAGAAGAGAGCACATATTTATTCTGTGAACTATTCAACAAGTCGTCAAACAACTTACTATTTAAATCTTCTGTTGTTGTACCAACAGATACCATCTCACAACGGCCTCTTCGACCGTAACAACCTCGAACCAAGTAATGGAAATATGATAAAGGAATTGTAATACTTTGGTTGCGAAAACGTTGTTTTAAAATTGATTTTTTT